TTCTGCTAGCTGCTGTCCCCAAAAGTTGCTTTTTTCTTACCCCCCCCTTTTTTTTTTTTTTGCAAATGGACACCTTTTTGATTTTTTAACCTGCAGGTTTGGGACAAGACACCTTGAGAAACAGGTTTCAGGGGTTCAACGGTTAGGTTGGATTCCGTTTTGGAAAATCACACCCTTCTGCTCAGGAAGCAACGTGTCTTTTTATGTTCCCGGCAGTCCTTCAAAAACAAACCCCTTGCCCCACTTGTAATGCGGTTCATACTTCACACGGCCCTGCTTCTTCCCTTCAAGCAAAGGTTCTTCAAATGGGAAGAAACGCACTGGATTGACCGTGGAAAACCATGAAAATCGGGATCGGCGACAACCCGGTGCAGCATTCCAGTTCCAGGGCTTCCAAGCAGCCAGCCGGGCCCAATTCCAGACTACTCTGTTCCAGCCCAGGTTTTCAGTGGCTGTCCAAACTGAAAATTCCCATTAAAAAAGAAAAAAAGATGTAGCCTGGGTAGAAAGTGGGTTCCCACTAGATTGTTCCCTTAGCTTTTTTTTCCCCCCCTCCTTCCCAAGAATTTTTTCAGTCCATCAGCATCATTCAACCTCTTCTCAAGGACCAATTGCCAAGCTGAATTCCATATGGAGTGGTCACTCCAAAGGTACGAAAAGACGCAGTCCACCTTTGTCAGGTTCAGATCGCTACTTGAAAGCTATTTTTTCCCCTGCCCTTAAGGGTCTTTGCAGGTCTTGGTGTTTTTATCCCCCCATCCCTCCCCTTGGGTTTCTGAATGGGGCCAACAGTTCTGCCTGGCACACTGGGAGCCCTTGGCTGGGCTGAGCGGAGATTTAAAGCTGTGGATTAAAGTTGGTTCAGGGGGTTTATGGGCTCAGAGCAGATCAGGCAGGTTGGCCTTCAGCAGAGGGACGGAAGGAGGGAAGGGCACAGGAAGGAGCAAGGAAAAGAAGGAAGAGGAGAGGAAGAAAAAAGGGAAGGAAGGGGAGGAGAAAGAAAAGGGAGGGAGGAAAGAAGGAAGGAAGGAGAGAGAGGGAGGGAGGAAGGAAGGAGGGGGAGGGAGGGAGGGAGGGAGGAAAGAAGGAAGGAAGGAGAGAGAGGGAGGGAGGAAGGAAGGAGGGGGAGGGAG